AATTAGAAATATTTTTGAATTGTATAATATTTGGTGATCGATCCTATGTCCACAAGTACGTTATATAATAGTAAGAAAACCAATATAAAAACACACACTCACACAACTCGTGCGTTTCTTCTTAGTAAGTTTTACAGGTGATCCGATGATAGTGTTGAGTAATTTGTGATTCGATTGCCGGTGCACCATATCATATACTGCATCGTCGACAGTACAAAACAGATCATTAACAGATAAACATCAGATAAGGTTAATTAAGGTTATGTAATATAGATTTTCTGTCTTTATGACTCACATTACCTGGTGAGAAATAAGTCAGCTTCATACACCTGGTGTTTGTAACATGTAACAGACTTCTATGTTGAATGATTATGTTAATGTTCCATAAAACCACAATGCATGCAACATTCAGTCTACACCGCTAAATGTAAAATGTCTGCTTTTTTATAAGTGTGAAGATGACTGTTACCGTTCGATCCTACATTTTTCACATGACTCTTTGTCAGAATTTTATCATACGTTTCTCATAGGGACAGCTTCTGATGACAATGCCTTCAGTAAAAGTAAATTGTATAGATGTTTATCTATTAAAACGAATGCTTTAATACCTTTGATAAGATTTTTGACATTGGTGTTTCCCACAGCAAAAAAGGCAAATATTACAAAATGTATATCCAAACTCATAAGTCGAAGACAAACTGACAGCGCCATTGCAAAAAAAAACAAAACGGAAAACGATGTTAAGACATACAACATTATACAAAACACAACATATATCTAAAGATTGAGCAACACATGAACTCCACAAAAGAAATCGGGGGGCTCAATCTATACTCTATAACTAATCTGAACATGCAGAAAGAGTAAACTTTGACATAGTATGGAAAATAAAATATGCATGAAGCTCTTTGAAACGCCATTGTTTATTCCAGTTCCTGGCATCATTCAGAGGGCAACATGTAATCTTCAACACAAGATAGGTGACCATGCAATATACCAAGCCCTAAATCGCCCCGAGGATATCAAATACAATTAATACAAGAATTTCAAATCAAAGATCTGCCAATAACCCAAATTATCTAAAAAGCGATAAATCTTCGATATGACAACTAATGACTACTGATTGTTTTGTTTTTACTCAAGCCAGTTATATTGTGAATTCTGCCTACAATGTAACATCTAGATTGTTCTGTGCTATGCCATTATCTTATTTTTTGTTGACTATTCAACTATTGTATTCTGTCTGGCACATTAAGTGCTAGCATTTACAAATATCGCTAAGGCCAGGGTATCAGTATATCATAGTGTATCCAAATAAAATGCGCAAAAAGAAAAGCACCCCGGTAACCATTTGGTCCCTTGGATACATAAACTATTACTTTTTCTATGTTGTTTGGTAAACTGTTGTTGTCTTGTTGATTTTACCCGTTAACTTTAATTCATACAAAAGTTGCGAAATTTTCTTGAAATAATTTATAACTGTAACTTTTGCAAGATAGAGAGTTTTAAAAATTCTATCGAGTAGGTACAACAGTTGAGTAAGTACTGATGAGTCTACCTGCTTGGTTGTCGCAGAGGACCTTAAAACAGATAGAACCATAGATGTTAAACTCAAGATTATCAGCATGCATTTTCTGCGATTATTTTAGGATTATCTGCATGCACTTTCTGCGATTATTTTCATTTCCAATTTGGATTGTGTAAAGAACAGTCTAAATAAATCGGAGAAAAGTAATCGAAACTATTGATTTTTTAAATTGAACTTTAAAAACTCTTACAATATATTTTAGTTTAAGGGGTTAAATAGCTTTAATGTGCATATTGCTGTGTGTTTGTTTATTCTACATTGGCTAGATGTATAGGGGGAGGGTTGAGATCTCACAAAACATGTTGCCCTCCGCATTTTTGCGCCTGTGCCAAGTCAGGAGCCTCTGGCCTTTGTTAGTCTTGTATGTTTTTATTAATTTTAGTTCATTTATATGTTTCGGAGTTTAGTGTGACTTCCATTTTCCCTGAACTAGTACACATTTTTGTTTAGGGGCCAGCTGAAGCCCGCCTCCGGGTGCGGGATTTTCTCGCTGTGTTGATGACCCATTGGTGGCCTTGGGCTGTTTTATGCTCTTTGGTCGGGTTGTTCTCTCTTTGACACATTCCCCATTTATTCTATCCCCCCCCCCCCCCCCCATACACTTTTGAAAGAACTTACACCTATTGTATCATACTTAAATTCGAGTATTTTTTCAACGACAAATTGTAACCTTCAGATTACCACTCGATGTTTATCAGTGATTTCCAATTTCTGGTATTATAGTTTTTCTATTTATACCATTTATTCCTAGCAATAATAATTACTGTAATTGTATTGTTAAAAAAACATAAATCAACCATAATATACATCTGTACTATGACCATGTTTCATCATTTTTCTTTTCTTTTGGTAAGATAAATATCTGATTTTAGAAAATTACATACAAAAGAATCTATCAATAGTTCTTAAAGTCTGAATATAAAACGAAACAAGATCTCTGTTGTATGTTCTACAATGTTATTCACAGACATGCGTCAGACATTGTGATCCGTCTTTAATCCATCCCATTACAGAAAAACTTTCATTTAACGAATTGTATAAAGACCTAGTCAATACGAGTTTTTTCATGAACATATTTTCTAAATAAGATTCATGTCTGTGGGGATTGTCAAGCAGAATTGATGCAACAGACACCATTCATGGACAATTTCCCTGCACTATTTTAGAAAAAAATGCTTTGTTTTTCAGTACTCTGTCTGTACTGAATTCTTAGCCAGAAAGGTATAACCAATTTTCCACAACTAGTTTTGAAAACTGATAAGAGTTGTTGAGATTTGAATAAAAGTGAGCCTATTAAATAATAAATTTCCATTTTTATCATACAGTTTTGAATATATTCATCAAACCAAACGTGTTATTCAGCGCTGTCCATTGTTGTTTAGGGAAATTTTGATACAAATTGCTTTTACGTATTTCGTAATATTTTGCATCGAAGGATATCCATAACGAAAAAAATAAATTCATTTGTACAACCAAGGAATTGTATATTTAATTCCTTGGTAGTACGCTTACGCTTGTTGTCTCTTCCATTCTATCACATTGATTTTCCTAATGATATAGTAGCTAGTTGTAAATATTGAATGGCAGTTAAACTATTAATATTAGGTAAAATAATGCTTCAATTTATCTATATTCCTAATGCGTTATCAAACTCGAAATGATGAGACAGAAGATTGTTTGAGTAAACGCGACCTTTTCTGTTTTAATATGTTTGTGATGGGAAGGTGTTGACACACACATTCTCACAATGTTACACTTTCATATCCAAGAATTTGATTTAAAAAAAAGACTGCAGTCAGTTTAAATATGACATTAAATACCGAACTGTCTAGTAAAGTAAAGGAAGGCAATATTGAAAAGGGTAGGTCAATTATCAGGTGAGATGGGTTTTTTTTCTGTGAAAATTAGCGTTATAAATAAGTCTCAATTTTTAACTATACCTTCCAGAAAAATATATTCCTCAACTTTCTCATTATTTCCTGAACAGATTACTTCACGCCCTAGATGGTATAGTATGAATACCTAATGATGTATAATGATTGAATTGGGACATACTGGTATTTTACATAAAAGTGTTTACCCGATTTTAAGAGATAATTCACGTTCTATATTGATACGGGATATAAGACTACGATTTCAATTTAAGGTACATGCATATGATAATTCTTACTTTTTTCGGAGACGAATGAGACTGAAAAATCTCAAAACGGAACATAGCTATAACCATTGACGGTACAACATTCTGTCGATACCTATATTTTGGCACTGCACAAGACCATGTTTTACCTGTGATGTCTGTGTTCTGCGAGTACTCTCAGATCTGTACTTTATGGCTTAAGTGTTTTTGTTAGCTGTTTTTTTTTCTCTCTCACTTTTTATTGATCTAATGAGGTTAGCTCTTTTCGACTGAATTTTAAAGGCTATTGGGAGGGTGGCGACAGAAAACATTTTTAAATCCGCAAAATTCTGTATGTGCCTGTCCCAAGTCAGAAGCCTGTAATTCAGTGGTTGTCGTAAGTTCTGTATAGCAATTTTTTTCGTTTATTGTTTTGTAAGTAAATCTCGTTTGCATTGTTTTACATTTGTCATGTTCAGGGTCTCGTATAGCTTGCTATGTGATATGGGTCCAATGACCTGCTATGTGATATGGGTCCAATGACCTGCTATGTGATATGGGTCCAATGACCTATAGTTGCTTACTTACACGTCATTTGGTCTCTGGTGGATAGTTGTTAACTTCTACGTCATTTGGTCTCTGGTGGATAGTTGTTAACTTCTACGTCATTTGGTCTCTGGTGGATAGTTGTTAACTTCTACGTCATTTGGTCTCTGGTGGATAGTTGTTAACTTCTACGTCATTTGGTCTCTGGTGGATAGTTGTTAACTTCTACGTCATTTGGTCTCTGGTGGATAGTTGTTAACTTATACGTCGTTTGGTCTCTGGTGGATATAAATTTGTCTCATTAACAATCATACCACATCTTCTTATTTTTCAATGTAAATAAAACTGTGCATGTTTATCTGGACAAAAATCGGATATATCCCAACAGTTGATTCAAATCAGGTTTGCAAATGATTTTTCAAATAAATTGTATTAAATCGATAAATTCTGCTGCTCTGAATAACCCATTTCGTGATTACCTATTTTGCAATTCAGATACATATGTTAAATCTACTTTTGTATTGGAAATCCCTTCCCAAATATCATGATGTTAAACATTTGTCGTAAGCTAGACGGAAAGAATATACATAATCCATCCTTGATGGAAATATGCAAGGTAAATTGTTTTTCGATCCCGTGTATATCCTAGTCATCGCTTACCTCGAGTTAATTTTATAATGGTTAACCACACACTGAATTATTCATCATATTTAGTAATAAATATGTTAACTAGCAATCTACAACCACAGCTTGGAATGGATGAAACTTATATAATTACAGAATGATATGGATACAAAAATATTTCTTACACTTGCAAAACCTATCACAATAATTTCACAGACCCTTATTGTATATCACAATGTTGTTTCCATTGAAGTTATATTTTGACAAGATCTGGACGTCCCTGTATAGTCTAGCACTGGCACAAGAATATTATGTTTATCATTAGGAATATCCAAACTAAACTGCTTTATTACTGGTATTTTACTTGTTGTTTCACAATAGGGACAAGTATCGTCCTGTCCATTTACACTATGTGAGCTGCACATCTCAAGCTGTTTAGTTTTATTCCATTTATCAGCTGTGATACGAAGAATTTGAGGATCATCCGAGGAACTGCTGCTTATGGAATCTCGGTCCTCCCTATTGTCAATCGTAGTTCGTTGTGATTTATCGTAATTTTGAATTTTGATAATGGGTGTTAGATGCACCGGTTGTTTAACATGAGCATGAGGCATGGTTGATTTAGGTTCTACAGACAAACTTTGGTGCTTTGTATTTTTCAGCCGAGTCTTTTTCGAAGGCTTTCCGTCACTTTCAGACGAACGAATAGAATCTTGAGTTTTCAGTGTAGGTAGACTTTGGTTTAATGCATTTGAATATTTACAATTATGAATATACTGTCTGTGTGTCCTTGTGTGTGATAAACAATGCTGAGACCTAGCACCAGGAATATTTGACGTCGTTTGTACTTTGGACGGATTAATTTCTTTTCCCTGAGGACATATTGTATCGGACTTTACTTTCAATATAAAAGCTCCTGGTTCCAAAAAATTATGTTGCTGTTGTACCCAGTCTGCCGTAGCAGATTTCATATCCATAACAACGATAGGAAGCTGTTTGTCGTCGTCAGAAATAGAAAATGTTGGCAATAAACGATAAGTTTTATCATGATGCGTTTTTTCTACTTCATCGTAGAACACTTCATCAGTACATTCGGCGGTATTACCCGCGTCGTTGTCATTATTATCACCATTGTCGCGAACCTCTATATCAACAAACGAAGCTTCTTCTCGTGGCATACCACGGTGACGAAACTCGTAAAATTTACGCTTAACAAATGCAAGAAGCGGTTTTCTAATTTTTGTTCTATAAACAACGTATAGAAGTAATGCACTCAACATAACTCCGAGCACCAGTGCTGTATTAAATCCCACGTTAGGATCATAAGTCTTGTAAAATTCCCTTTCAAGTAGATATCTCTGATCTGTTATGTCAGAACCATGTAAGTTCTTATTAACACTTGATGTATCGTTAATAATCTCTAGACTGTTCGATAAAACTATAGAAGATGGAACTGTGCTTTTAGGCACAACATCTCTTCTCATTTCGTCATGAGTCTGAAAATAAAAGAATTCAGCTAATAAAATACGTTTCCATAGTAATATTAATATTAAAGGTTATAAAAGACATGTTTCACATTAAGACATTTAAATACCCACTGGTGACTAAAGATTGTCATGACTTTTTCCGTTTCTATTGTCTCAGCTATACTTTGAAAGACATAAAACAGTTTTTTTAATGAGGAGTCGGACAAAAATCCTTTCATAACGCATGTCAATTATTATTACGAATTTATGTACTTATCTCGGAATAATTGGTTTGTCCATCGTTACAGCTAACATATTATATTTTAACAATATGACATTGCACAAATATAACCAATTAATCATTCCAAAACATTTAAGATTTGTTGGCAATTCCCAAAGTCAATAAATTACTTAAACTTCTTATGGAAATACATGGTCGCTGTGAATCGCACACATTCATTATTATACGAGCTAAAAAGAATCCCTATCTGAACGGTAAATAATCAGAACAAGACCTCACAATTTCTAACTGCAAGAAAAACCTTAACTTTGGTCAATGTAATCTGGAAATAATTGCATTACTTTAATTGATTAGAACAAAAACAAGCATTTGAAAGATTTTCTATCCGACCATTAACTACTAGCGATGAGTATTGGAACAATTGATTTTGTAGAACCGAATGACGGAGGAAACATGTGGTGAATTCCGGAGTGATTTGATAAGACTCTAATAAATAAGGAAAAGCAATAATTGACATTATTAAACAAGAAATTGGATTAAATACAGCAATTAATGAAACTAAATTCATACCAATTTAAAGCTTATCAGTTAGTAGACGACACGGCAGATTGATTTGTAAATAAAAATAAGGATATGTGGTATGCTTTACAATGATACAGCCATCCACCATATAAAAAAGGACAGTGATCTTAACTACTACTGGCCATCGTACGGATGTCAATAATGAGCAAAACGAATCTCGTACTGTAAGCTATAAAAGACCCTAGGGTAACAAAAGAGAACAACAATTGTCGTATTTAGGCTTTCAATATTAAAAACAATTAGAGAAGACAGCAACAAACGACATTCGCGGAATTTATACAGGCTCCTACAGGTATTGACTCAGCACTTAAAGAATGAGACGGGGTTAAATAAGATA